TATTTATCATTAGGTCAGATTGATTAAAAATGACCATAAATTGTGGGTTATAGCTCATGAAATTATAAATTTTGAACCCCAAAAATTATTCGCTAAAGACTAGAAGTGATTAAAAATGATTGAAAATTGTGGAATATAGCTTATGAAGTTGTTAATTTTAGATTCCATGTAATTATGTGCCAATGGGTTGAAATGGCTAAAAATGGTAAAAAATCTTTGGTTATGTAGCAAACAAAATTTTGAATTTTGGAATTAGTGGAATTATTTGTTGATGGGTCGGATTGATTAAAAATAACCAAAAAATATGTGTTATAGCTTATAAAATTGTTAATTTTAAACTTTGTAAAATTATTTGCCAAAGAGTAGAAAATGACTAAAAATGGTTAAAATTTTGTACTTATAGCTTATGAAATTGTGAATTTTATATTCCGCGAAATAATTTGCTAATGGGTTTAAACTACTAAAAATAGCTTAAAAACATGGGTTATAACTCATAAAATCATATATTTGATTTTTGCGGAATTGTTTGTTAATAATCCACTACCAAAATAATTGCCAAATAATTAGGGGTTAAAACTCATGAAATTGTGAATCTTGAACTGCGTGAAATTATTTGTGAAGTTGTCAAAATGACTAAAAATGACAAAAAAATATGTGTTTTAACTCATGAAATCGTGATTTTTAACTCCGCAAAATTATTTGCCAATAGGTCAAAACGATTAAAATGGGCAAAATTTTTTAATTATAGTTCATAAAATTGTGAATTTTAAAGTCTACGAAATTATTTGTAGATGGGTGGAAATGACTATGCTTGGCTAAAATTCATTAGTTTTTTCTCATGAAATCGTGAATTTTGGACTTGGTGATGCTATTTGTCAATGAGAAAGAACGAATAAAAATGGCCAAAAATCATAAGGTATAGCTGATGAAATCATGAATTTTAGACTCTCTGAAATTATTTGTTAATGTGTCTAAATGACTAAAAATGGTAAAAATTGTAGGTTATTGCTTATGAAATCATGAATTTTGGACTCTGTGAAATTATTTATCAATGGGTCGAAATGATTAAATATGGTAAAAAATTGTGGGTTATAGCTCATAAAATTATGAATTTCTGGATTATGCAAACTTATTTGCCTATGGGTCCTAATGGATTAAAATGACAAAAAAACATGGGTAATAGCACATGAAATTGTGAATTTTGGACTATATGCATTTGTTTTATTAGGAGTTGTAATGGGTAAAAATAATAAAAAATTATATGTTATAGCTCATGAAATCTTGAATTTTTGATTATGTATAATTATTTGTCAACTGGTAGAAATAACTAAAAATGGCTAGAACACGTGAGTTACAAATCATAAAATCGTGAATTTTGGACTCTACAAAAATTATTTGCCATTGGGTTAAGACGACTAAAAATAGAGAAAATTTTTGAGTTATAGTTTATGAAATGATGAATTTCAAACTCCGCAAAATTATTTGTCAATAGATTGAAATGACCATGAATTACTAAAATTTGTGAGTTATAACTAATGAAATCATGAATTTTGGACTCCATAAATTATTTATTAATGGATACAAACAATAAGACAAAAAAATCATAGATTATTGTTATAAAATCATGAATTTTAGCATCTGCATAAGTATTTACCAATGGCCAAATATCGTGGGTTATATCCCATGAAATCGTAAATTTTTAACTATAGGTAATTATTTGTCAATTGGCACTAATAAATAAAAATAGTAAAAAAAATAATGTATTATGGCTCATGAAATTGTGAAATTTAGACTTTGTAAAATTATTTGTCAACAGGTGGAACAAATAAAAATGATAAAAAATCATGGGTTATTACTCATAAAGTCATAAACTTTGGATTCTGTGAAATTATTTGTCAATGGGTCTGAATGATAAAAAAATGGCAAAAAGTATTGATTATTGCTCATGAAAATATGAATTTATGGAATCTGCAAAATTATTTGGCAATAGGTCAAAATGAATGGAAAAGGCCAAAAATATTGGGTAATAGCACATAAATATGTGAATTTTGAACTTTGCGTAATTATTTGCCAGTGGGTCAAAACGACTAAAAATACCCATACACAGTTAGTTATATAGCCAATGAAATCATGAATTTTAGAATCCGTGAAATTTTTTGTCAATGGGTTGGATTGATTAAGAATGTCTAAAAATAATTGGCTATAGCTCATAATATTGTGAATTTTGACTCCACAATTTTCCAAAGACTACAAAGCAACTAAAAATTATAAATATTTTGGGTTACAGCTCATGAAATTGTGAATTTTGTACTCCGGGAATTTATTTGATAATGGGTCAAAACATCCAAAAATAGCCAAAAATTAGGGTTAGCTCAAGAAATCGTGAAATTTTAGATTCCATGAAACTATTTGTCAATGAGCTCGAACGAATAAAAAATGGCTAAGAGTTGGGGGTTATATCTCATGAAATTATAAATTTCGGACTCCATGAAATTATTTATTAATGGACTGGGGTGATTAAAAAATACCCACATATTTGTTGGTTATAGCTCATGAAATCATGAATTTTCGGACTCTATAAAATTATTTATTAATGGGCCTAAATGAACAAAAATAGCTAAAATTATCGGGTAATAGCACATGAAACTGTTAAGTTTGGACTTTGCGTAATTATTTTCCAATGGATCGAAATGACTAAAAATGGTCAAAAATCATTAGTTATATAGCTAATGAAATCGTGAATGTTTAAAATTCATGAAATTATTTGTCATTAGGTTTGATTGATTAATAATGGCAAAAAAAAATATGTACGCTCATAAAATTATGAATTTTAAACTATGTTAAATTATTTGCCAGAGAGTAGAAAATGACTAAAAATGACTAAAAATCGTGCGTTACAGCTGATGAAATTGTGAATTCTGTACTCGCAAAATAATTTGCTAATGGGTCGAAATAACTAAAAATGGTTAAAAGTCATGAGTTATATCTTAGAAAATCATGAATTTTGGCATTTAGGAAAGTAATTGTCAATAGGCCACAATGAATAAAACTGGCCAAAATCGGGGTTTATAATTCATGAAATAGTAAATTTTGAACTCCATAAAATTACTTATCAATGGTCGAATGATTAAACATGGCTAAAAATTATTGGTTGTTGCTTATGAAAACGTGAATTTGTGGACTCTTAAAAATTATCTGTTAGTAGGTCAAAACGTATAAAGATGGCCAAAAATATTGAGTAACAGCACATGAAATCGTGAATTACTTTCCTAAATGCCGGGTTTCGGGTCTGTTTTGTGTGTGCATGTGTGTGTGTGTGTATATATACCCAAATTTTTTATCCTCTTTTCCCCTTCATCTCTCACGTTCTGATCAGCAGCCACCTCCTCTCAAACACTAAAATTTTAAATCTCGTTCATTTGGAGAATTTTCGCGAAGCAAACCCATAGAGGAGGGCGAGATCTACGACTTTCGTGAAGGAGGATCAAGTTTCTTCCACGTTTGAGAGATCCAAACGAATTTCTAAGGCAAGTTCATCTTCTCTAAACTCATCCCTTTAGTTTTTCCTTTTTGTTTTGATGGTTTAAACATTAAATTTGATGAATAGATCTGTAGATCCGAACAATAAATGAAGAAAAAACATAATCTTGATCATTAGAAACATAATTAATTGATAATTGATGGACTAATTAGGATTAGAACCCTAATTAATCAACCAAACACTTGTTTAGTAATGTTTAGGGAGTTTAAATCCCAAAAATCCATGTTTTGTTGACATATACTTGTTTGGCCAAACCCTCAGTTCGTTAAATACAAGATTTAAACATGTTTTCATATCCCATGATGATGTTTCATGAGTTCTTTTTGAGAAAGTCGATTAACTTCATGAAAACTGACGATTGTGTTTCTATACTCTGATCGGTCGACTAACCACATGAATCAGTCGACTGATTTGACCCTAATGATTGTATAATTTTCCTTTGGACGGTCGACCAATAAATTATCGGTCGAATGGTCGAAGCTTGATCTTGTGCATGTTTGTGCACGTTCGCGTCTGGTCGATTGATGGGATATCAATCGATTGATCTGGAGCTGTTTGCAAGTAATGATCTTCCGCGCACGTTTGGTCGTGAACACGAAGGACGGGACCGCACATAGATACACGTGTGTGGCCATGGTGGTGTACGTGTTGGGTTTAGGCACACACGGATCCTCGGGAGTGCGTGGCCATGTGTCGAACTGTCGCGACGTAGGGGCGACAACTATCAAGTTGCATAAGTCAACGTCAAATGTCTGCATGGATGGCCGAGATAGGTTGTGAGCCGCAAGAGATTGCGATGCACCGCGGGATACTGCGAGTACCTATGCTCCGCATCATACTTTTGCATAGATGTCCGAGTTAGGTTGTAAGCCACATGGTATTGCGATGAGCCACAAGATACTGTGAGCACCGAGACTCCACATCTCTTTTATTTACATTGTGTTTCGGATTAGGTTGATATGCCTATACTCCGCTTAGTGTCCGAGTTAGGTAGTGAGCTGCATGATATTGCAATGAGCCACAAGATATTGTGAGCACCTATACTCCACACCATTATTATTGAAGAGGATTACACAGGATTGTGTATTTGCCCTCGTGTCACCTACCCCGAGGGTAGTGTGTAATACTGTGTTTTGACATGCACGATGTATCCTAGACGAGGTATTGATGATGTATTTCTTTCCTACTTGTTTTTTCCAAATTTTGGGAGTTGATATTTAGCGATTCACAATTTGAGATATATGGTATATACGAGGGTTTCCTTGTTTGGATTACTCCCTCGACGTACTTATCTCGTGTCGTGGGTTTCTAAGTCATAACTCCTCTTAGCACAGAGTTTTTGATACGTATACATATATGCTGTGTAGTAATTTTCTATTGTAGGTGTTACCCCTTCCCCCTGAGGGCGGTGGAGATGTTCTTGCTAGCGCTTTGACACTCGTTGATTTTATTTTTTCAGGTAGCGAGTCAGGGATTCGGAGAGCCGCAGATTGATAGAGACTCGCTAAAATTACCGTCATTCATAGGTAGGTAGTTGATGCTCCACGGCAGATTATTTATTGTTTTAAGACTTTTAGAGATGTATTTTGTTTTAGAGGATGAGTGTCTATGTACCTTTCAGTTGACTCTTATGTTTAAGAGATTCATTTTTCTTATTCCAGTTTATCAGATGTATTTTTTTCTGTTGGGACATAATTATAATTATTATTAGATATCTCTTTTTTTATTGTGTTCCTTGTACTTTCATCTTTGTTATATCTGCTTATACCCTCACTTGTTTTCATTTGACATTTGCTATGGTGATATTAATGTGATGGTGAAACATGTTTATGCACAGTATTGGGTGCATGACAGGTTTGACATCTTTGGGTTCACCTTAGACTGCAACAATGTGTGAAACTAGGGGCGTCACACGAATTCTGACATATTATATATGTAAATCGTCTACCTCGACGAGACAATGCCCACTGAATTGTCAGATGTCTAAAATCTCATCGGTATCATTAGTTATTAGCAGCCAAAAATAATTAATATTTAGTTTATTTTTAGTAATAAAGTTGGAGCATGTTTAGATTAGGAAATAAATTTAATTTTGATTGATGTTAAATTGGTTTGTTTCCTATATTATAAAGAGTCTTTTTAAGGTAGGATTTAATCATTTTTATTTCTTTGTAATTCTAATCTTATTAGGAGTCTAATTTGTTTTTCTATTTAAAAAGAGTCATGTAACCCTAAAATCAATATATAACTTTGTTAGATATTTTGTTAAGAAAAGACAATTTTGCCTTCATGAATAGTAATAAAATTTTGTAATTGGAAAGAGACGTTACAAAACCCGCAATTAATACGGTAATGTTCGTCATAAATTTTGTAACGTTCCCTATAATTATATAGCCGTTACACATATTTTTAATTGCTAATTAAAACATGTTTTAATTACAATAATTTATTACTATTCATGAAGGCCAAATTGTCTTTTCTTAACAAAATATCCAACAAACTTTTGATCAAAAACTTTCTTTTATTATATTTTTTCGTGTATTCGAAGCTTTTCGTGGATTAGGAGATCATTCTTTGTGGATTCAGAGAGCACCCCTTGGGGGATTCCGCGTGCTGGGTTATTGACTTATTTGATCATTCGTGAAAGTGGACTTGTCCCTGCTATATATGATACTAGCATCATATTGTATGTGCACTCTTAGTAGCTGAGTTCACATGCAAAAGACCATGTTACATAACTACGTATTCATTCCACATAACTGAACAGGAGAAAGAATTGTCACGCAAGGAAAAGAAGGTTCCAACTCATTGTTTTTGTATCATATTTGTAGCAAAGCAATTAATATAATTTTGTAGATTCGGGAGTTCAGTGATGCAGGATGTTAATCCTGAGTTCTAAGACTCTGGTGGTTGGGATTGGTAACCATACGGATTCTTGCTGGCCCAATTCCATTGATCCCTGCACATCTCCGCTATGCCGTATCTTGCACTGCAAAATTCAGTCGGCGCCGAATAAGTCACTTTGAAAAAGAGGCAAAAGAGGCAATTCATGAAGATCAATATCCAAATTAAAAATTTAAGATTAGAACTAGACTACCATGAAAGAGTTTCCTCAACAGAGCTAGGTTCAAATAAAATTACAGTTCTATGTCAACAGTGTTTAGCTGCAGTGAAAGTGCCATGACGAAACCATTCCTTGATTAAGGTTAATAATGATAAAATCCTTGTATTATGACCGAAAAAGGAAATAATTTTCTTGTTCGTGACTTTTCTTGCACTGATGTCTTCAAGAAAGGAAAAGGAAAAGTTGGATTATAAGGATACGAAAGAGTTACCTCCAACCAAGGTCTTTTTGGGCTTTCTCGGTAGAAGCATATACTTCCGTAGCGTCTCCTGGCCTCCTCGGGCACATCTTGATGGGAATTTTCTAAATTTATGAAGGAAAACAAAAAAAAAATAAACCATTTGCCTAATTTGAGAATGAACTAGATATTTCATGAACTCAACTTACCTTCCCAGCTGCCTTTTCAAATGCTGCAACCATTTCAAGCACAGATGTTCCAAATCCGGTTCCCAAATTGTACGCAATACAGCCTGAGAAGAAAAAAAAAACCAGACTTCAGCAATGGTCGAATAATCTTAAATTTTGTTTCTCAAGATAAGCTTACCGATATTTTCTTCAGCAAAAAGTTTCCTCAGGGCTGCTATATGACCATCAGCCACATCCATGACATGAATATAATCCCGAATCTAGAAGAGAAGGAGAAGAAATGAGCAACTTTGCAGTAATCTTTGCTATACGGTACACATTTTATCTATAAGGCCAATACAATAGTACATATTCTAGGTCAATACTATATATGTTATGTACATACCGGAGTGCCATCCTTCGTTGGGTAATCATCGCCATATACATTTAATACAGGTCGTCTTCCTACAGCAACTTGTTGGATGTAAGGCATCAAGTTATTCGGAATACCCTTTGGATCTTCACCAATTTGGCCACTTTCATGAGCTCCTACAGGGTTGAAGTATCTCAACAATATAACTCTAAATTCTGGGTCAGCATGCTGAATGTCTCGGGCCATATCCTCAAGAAATAACTACATACCAAACAAAAAAACAATGGATCAACGAAATGGTTCTTGCAGTGATCTTGGATTGAGAATATCTCAATGTATATGCAACAGAATGCTGACCCTACCTTAGTCCTACCATAAGGATTAAGTGCATTTAGTTCAGAGTCCTCGACACATGGAATTTTTTCAGGTTGCCCATAAACCGTAGTAGATGAAGAAAATACCATCTGGACCAGAGAATAACATAGAACATAAGTGGTGAAGTGTATTCGAGTAAATATAATGGTTAAAGTAAAGAATGATCAAGCCTTAACTAGAGACGAAGAATTAAAAAGAATAAATAAGAAGCCTTAACTCATATGCAAGCCAAATCCTTCCACATCTTTACAAATATTCATGTCCATAGTCTCTAAAGTAGTGACTAACTTGCCAACATATGGTGTTAATTTTTTGGTTTTTGATTTGTGAATGATAAGTAAACAGTTGATCGGTCCACTATAAACTTCTTAGAGAGAGAATACTGACAGCACAGTTTCTCAATACATAGAAGAGTATGAAGATCTAAGAGGCTAAATCTTAATAATACATGTACTGCATAATAAGCTAACATGAACAAATAATTGTGCCCTTACGACAAAATCAACAACTACAACAACAACAAAACCTTTATAGTAAAATTTTGTTGTTGGCTCATGAATCCTAATCTTCCATTTACAAGAACCTAATCCAAGGGGCGATAAGTTCATAAAAAGCATGCTCATTTCTGAATCGAATTTTCTTGTACTTTTGGATAGAATCATTTGATTAAAATGTGCACATTACATGGACTGAAATTTCATAAGTAATGAATCTAGAAAGTTTATCGATACAAACTTAAATAGAAATATAGCTTAGCCTATACGTTTTGCTCAAAAATGAAACAGAGTAAACAAATAGCAAAAAAGATAAAATGCAACAGCGAGAAAAATAAATTGACAGGAACAAACCTTTTTACAGCCATATTTTGTCATAAACTCGTATAAATGTATCGTCCCGATCATATTGTTATTGTAATAAAGGAGAGGCTTTGCCACACTCTCACCAACAGCCTTCAGTCCAGCAAAATGAATTACAGCATCGTATCTGTTTAAGAAACGGTATTCTGATTAATCATCATAACATTAAATCTAACGTAGGCATCTAGCAATACGCAATTAGTACAAAAGAATAGCTACATTTTTAATGATCAAGCATGACATAATTTAAAATTTCAAAGATCCCTATAATTTTGAAGAACTATTAGTACAAAAGAATAGCTACATTTTTATTTAAATTACACAGTCTACTCTTAAGTCATATGCGGTCATAAACAAAACCCATGTTAGAAAATAGAAATAAACCCAAAACAAACTAACCAATCCCAAATAAAAACGAGTAAAAGGTCTAACCTTGATTCGGAGAAGACCCTTTCCAAATCTTCCCTGTTCCTTAGATCTCCCTACCAAAAACAACAGCAACATTAATCACACACTAACCAAAACTAGCACAAAATTGATTAATCCAAGCAACTAGAACAAACCAAGTAAAATTGGAGATTTTGTGAGAGATCAGGGCCAGCAAGATCTCTAACCCGCTCCAATGCTTCCTCACAAGAGTTATCGAAGTTATCGATGATGGACACCAGAAAACCCCCTTTGAGAAGCTGAAGCACAGTGTGGGTCCCAATGAACCCTGCACCTCCAGTAACCAAGATCCTCTTCTTCTCCCTCATCTCCCCATCTGATGGCAAAGCAGCCATCGACGAAAAGGGTAAGAAATGGGTCTCAAGTTTTTTTTTTTTTTTTTTTGGGTTTTGAAGTTTTTTTTTATAAAGAAGGGAGAAGGCAAAATGATTAGGTAATGGGGCTGGTTTTGTTAGTTGGTGGCTAATGGGTGCACTGAACTGAGGAGAAAGATGAGCTGTGGAGGTTGCACTGTGTTGAAGTACAGAGATTGGTTTAAAAAAAAAATGAAGGTGGAGACAATCAAGGAAGGGGCTGTTGTCGGTGGGGCTTGTTTTGTTTCTGAATGCGAAGAAGAATTGCCATATGAAAGCAGATCTTGGGACTTTTGTTTCGACTGTGTGAGCTTATGCTCGGCAGAAGATGTACTTCTAAAAATGGGGTTTTGCGTGACACCCTTCCAAATCTTTCATATTTGCGGAGTTGATTGTACATTCTTCAGCATAATTTTATATATCCTTTCTGATTCCAAAAGCACGCTAGAATATAAAAATATAACCCTCAATCTTCTCCCACAAGTTCAGAGCATTAATATAAGGGAATTTTTGCAAAATAGACTTTTTTTGCTAAATAATTAGCAAAATAGACCGTTTTGCTAAGTAATTAGCAAAATAGAGGTCGATTTTGAAAAACAACTCAGAAAACATACGGGACTACTAGTCCCGTATGTTTTCTGAGTTCGGATTAGTGAACTCAGAAAATTTCTCAGAACATCAAGATGAACTTAGAAAACATACGGGACTAGTAGTCCCGTATGTTTTCTGAGTTCATCTTGATGTTTTGAGAAATTTTCTGAGTTCACTAATCCGTGTTTAAGTTGGCTCTAAACATAAAACATACGAGATTAGTAGTCCCGTATGTTTTCTGAGTCACTAATTCGTGATTAAGTTGGCTCTAAATATACGGGACTACTAGTCCCTTATGTTTTCTGAGTATTGGCCAAAAAGAGGTCTATTTTGCTAAATATTTAGCAAAGTGATCTATTTTGCTAAATATTTAGCAAAAAATGACTATTTTAAAAAAATTTCCTTAATATAACTCTCATACTTGACCAGATACATGGCACATTTTAATAACCACACCTTCAACAATATTATCAATCATTGAACTTCGTTGAGCTGTAAACAAATCTATAAACAAAAGTAAACCATGGTCAGAACTCAACGGTTAGCACAAGCATGGGGAGAATTGCGACAATGAGATGCAAATGAAGGTGCCAAGTTGCTACAGGGCCTAATTTAACGGGGGAAAAAATGAAAAATTAATTAAGACTAGAGTTCATGCTTGGTACTTGTTTGGAAATGAACAAAAAGAAAGAGAAGAAACAGACAAATGGTTTCATACCTCAAACTTTGTGGAATTTGACATCGTCAACTTGTATTTTGAATTATATATGTCGTATATTATTAACCATAAAGTGAATGTTTTCTGTATTGCTTTGTATTGACTCAGATTTTGCGGACCTTGAACGAATATAGTATCTTGATATTTATTTTGGGCTATTGAACTTGGGTTAATTGCACATAGATCCTCTCTAGCATCATTGTTTAGACTTAACTACATGTGTAGTTTGATTTTGACGGATAAACCATGATTGCTTCTTCTTTTGTCTTTTTCGACTCTTTTACCCGCAGAAAGACTCACTAATTTCACTTGGCTGCAATATCTACCGAAATTTTACACTGAGTGAAAGAGTCAAAAATTTTACCAAGAGGGATTATTTGCCAAAATGACAATGATACTAAGGGGTCTCTGTACAGTTAAATCTAGGGTTATTTGGCTATAACCCTCAAATCTTCCATAAATGCAAATTTGTCTCCAAATCTTCATAATTGCAAATATACTCCCATCTTCCATAATTGCATATTTACCCTCAAAATCTTCATAATTGTCAATATAACCGCCTCCAACAATACTTTTTAATAATGCATATTCAGTTTGCCCCCCCACCTCCACCCCCCCCACCACTCGTCACCCACCCCGCTCTCTGCTCCACCCCCACCACCACCACCACAAGACAACAAAAAAATCTCCTGATCAAATAACCTTCATAAATGTTTATTTACCCCCACCCCCTAGCCCAAAAAACCAAAGCAAAACAATTCATATAATTACTAAATAGACCACCCCCCCCCCCCCACCTACAACAAAAAAATATTTAAGTAGGGAAAATGAGAAAAGACGCAAAAGGTACGGGATCTGCGCTCATTCAATCCTCAGACTGAGTCAATGATTCGATCCGTTAGAAAGGAGAGGAGGGTTATTTTGGTCAACTGGCCCATACACTGTTAATCTAGCAACTCTATGGCATTTGGAGGGTATAATAGCCCAAAATTGAAGATTTGGAGGCATATTAACAATTATGAGGATTAAGGGGTAAATATGCAATTATGTAAGAATTTGGGAGCATATAGCCAAATGACACTTAAATCTTGAATTTGTAAAAGTATGTTGTTCATGTTGTTGTTATTTGTTTCTTTTCACTTTTTGTTTCATTTTATGCTGATGTTGGATTTTGCACGCATAGACTCCTCGGAAGATGTCCAATCCAAGCCTAGAATGTGGTGGTAATGTTGTAGCAATAAGCTATAAACAATGTTAATAGAAGGATCAAAAAAATTTAGATCTAGATTTTTAGATTTTTTTTGTTTTTTTAATTTATTCACATACATATAGAGGATTTTTACACATAAATCTCTTATGTATATTTTATATTTTTAATTGCTACGGTTTTTAAAATATCAAAATAGTCAAAATTCTCAAAAAAAGAGGTTTATTTTTATTTTATTTATTTATTTTTTATTATTATTATTTTATATGGGAACCAAACTCAAGATCTTGAGATATGTCTTGAAACATCTCATCTACGTTCCCAAAAAAAGAGGTTTATTTAGTTTATAGAAAAATGCTGCAATTCATTTTCATCTCACCAAAATTTTATGTTCAAAATTATGTTTTAAGTTGGTTTCTACTAGTAAGGAAATAAAATTATTATGAAACTTTTTGTGGGTCTCATATCCAATAATGAGAATAGAGTGGTTATGGTTATTGACAAGGTCTTCTCATTTGCTACCAAAACAAACAAAAATTCTGTCAAATTTAGAAACCTTACATTTTTTTCATTGTTTATTTCATCCCAAAACAAACACAATTTAGCAAAACAAAGTCGAAAATATTGTAGCATTTGGAGTTCTAATTGATAAAATATTACAACCTAAGTTTCATATCCCAGATGTTGATGCTCGTGAACAAACAGTCGATGAGGGGTCTCCGCTGTAGGATGCAGTTTCGATCCTGACGACCGATAGAGTGGGGAGCGGTATGAATGTTTGGGCGACACCCCCCCCCCCCCCCCCCCCCGACTTACGGCCCGATCCCTCGACTTGAATTTCTAATCTTTCTGCATAAACAAGAAGAAAACCTTAGGAGGGCGGGGACCGTTTCCCCGTGGTACCTCCGACGGTCAAGTCAGTTTGAGAGCTTGAGTGGAGTTTGAGGGAATGACCTTGGGCCATTAAGGCCCTTGGAGCGTACTCTTTTGAGAGTTTATTAGTTCTTTTTCTTTTAGCCTAGGTAGGTTCCTTGTTTTTGTGAAGAAGATGTTCCCTCCAAAACTTACCGTGTGTTCCTCTTTTCTCCTCCTTTTATAGTCCCTTGCCTCTGAGAGGTTGACCCTCGGTTTTGACTATGCACATGAGGTGGCTGAGAGGTGAACAACAGAGCTGCTGAGTCACTCTTCTCCTTCCAGATGTTGACTGGCGATTGGAAGGGAGGTCACTCAAGTACAAGAGGGAAATGGCTTCTCATTACCCTGGATTTGTCAAAGAGGCAGGTCATAGAATAAGTCAGCTGTTTAGTCGTCCTTCTCTCTCCAGATGGCGGCTGGCGATTAGAGGAGAAATCATTCATGTACAGGAGAGCATCATGACAATCTTTTGGGAAGTGACCTATAAGCAGAATATGCGGCTTGGACACAAGATTTGTTAGAATGAAGATCTTGATGGGATTGGTCAATATTGTTGTGTCGATTGACATCTAAAGTGAGTTTGGTCGGATCTTATCCCTTTAGTCGAGGCAGGTTGAGTGAGCTTTGGGTCGAGCGTATGACCGAGTCATATGGTTGAGTAGTCTGCTCAAGGAGTCATCTTAATTGTGAGAGGGCGACTGAACCTGCACTTCGAGTCGTCATGATGACCCTTGGTCAAAAAGAAGACTTGTCTACTCGTCTAACAAAGAGATTTGACCTTAGCTGGGCTTCTGGGCTTCTGAGTTGGTTTGGACCATTCCTCTTTAAGCTTATGGAAACATTTTCTCGACATCTTCATTCTCAGATGGTGAATTACCATAACACCAGATCTTGTAGGTTTAAGCTCAACTAGATGTAAAATGAAATACTAGTCATACTTACCAGATTAATATAGACTAAAAGATCAAGTCTAACACCCAAAAATCACTAAAAAAATGAAAAATCACTATTCACTATGTAACTATCTCCCAACTACAATTTATGAACTTCAAACTACGTGGATCTCAAAAATACAATTTTGATGAGGAATCACCCTTTGCAATTTATGAACTTCAAACTATGTTCAAAATTTGTTGCCACAAAAGTCAACACAGCTCATCATCAAACAAAATGCTGAGTTGGGTACTCATGCTCATATCCATTATAATCATAATACAACCTCTCCCCCTTTGCAATATCTCTCGCTGCAATCAACAGAACCCTGCACTCTCCATCCAAATTGAACCTCACGCACTTCACATTCTGCTTCTTCCTCCCATCCCTGGATCAAAACCAACAAAATTTCCATCAGAACCAATTTTCTTTGAACAAAAAAGAAACATGTAATCATCAAACTTACGGTGTATAGTTGTTGATTCCATTGATGAATCTTGCTATGTTGCTGCGCTTATCGGGGCAAATCACAAGACTCTTTGTTGGGTCTTTCGCTGATAGCAACGTCATCATGCTGTCTCCATCGTCGTGCTCCCTGTTGCTCAAGAAGTCAACATCTCCGACGTATTCAGTGATGATTGTTAAATCTCTGATGAATCTATCAGCCTCAACTGTGAACCTGCTCGCATCAAAATTCAATCTTTAAAATGCCCAAAAAATCCAGTACTCAACAGGAAAATCAAGTAACCAGTAACAAGGAACTAACCCCTCTTTAGGGTCGAATACGACCATTAGAGGAGGGCATTCTCCTATCCCCATCATCTTCTTGCATAAGTTCAGAGCTTCAGCATCCTCTTTACACATTACCTTATGAAAATTTAAAAAAAAAAGCCATTTAAGTTGACTTAAAATTGATTACGATTGAAGGAGATAATCAGTTGACTGATTAATTTTACCTGCATTCCTCCGTGTTCAAGATGAGGAGAGTTAGCGGACCTCGGAGCCATTCCATCGACATAAGTGAGCTCATTACTGTACTTAGCTCCGGTGGCCATCAAAGCCGTCGCTAGAGAAGCCATTTGCTCCATTCTTCGATCTGGGTCTTCGCTCGGATTGAATGGAAGCAGCCTTCTCTTCTTCTTCGCCACTGCGAGCCCTCCTCCTTGCTTCTTCTTCCTCTTCCTGCTCACGGTCTCAAAAGGGGTTCTCTGGATTTTGAAGAAATCGATGATTTTGGTCTGAACCAAAGGAAATCCTGCAAAAAAAAATTTAAAAAGAGGGTCAGTTAAATTGGGGGTAGAGAAGAATGAGAGGGGAGTTGGGGAAATGAGATTTCGGTACGTTTGGGATTATTTTTGTTGGAGGAGCAAGATGGGCAGAACCAATGACCGTCGGGGACTCGAGCAAGGATCGGGCGGAGGCAGAAGAGGTGGAGGCCTCGGTCGCAGCCGTCGCAGAGGAGGAGCTCATCGGGGCGGTCGCCGGATCCGCATCTGTCGCACTCGACGTCGTCGCTGTCGGAGAATTTGGAGGGTTTCTTCGCTTGGGTTCTTCTCCTTAATGGGATTTTGGGGGCCATTGATGGATTCAGGAGGAGGAGAGAGAGGATTGAGGGTTTTTTTTGGGGGGGTTTTCTTTTATTTAACAGCTGGAACTGTTGGATCGAGGAGACAAATAGGGCATATGGGAATTTTCGCGCGCGAAATAATTTTTGAGGTCGCGGGAAGTGAATTTGGCGCGAAGCGGTTTGGTTCTGGCGGATGATTTTTCAATTTGCAGGGGCAAGTATTTGCGGGTGACCGGGTGAGGACACGGGACGGTAACGGGTATCGTATCCTTTTTTTAGGCGAGTTCTTTTTATTCCAATCACACCCATATTCGAGCACAAGAAAATATATTTGCACACCGTTTCAAGACATTAAATGTGTAATTAAGGAATATCAATTTTTGGATCAGTGCACGAATCACAAACTCTAATAATCTAAGAGTTGATATTCTTTGAGTGCACGTTTACTATAATAGATTGTCCCTAGTGGATACATTCTAGCACAATTTGACTTGCGGAGAACATTTTTAGAAAATAGAGTATTGCTATAATGGTCGCTTAAATCTTCAATATTTTCATCTAATTTAATCCTTTGCTGTAGATTTGATTAAATTTCTGCGGTAGTGGAATAATCTTTAATTGTATATTTAAATCCTCTCTGCAGATTCTTGAGGAGATGTTTCATTGAATTTCGGGCAGAAGGAAACAAAGACAGCTGAGAATCGTTTGATTTGTTGTGGTTGGCACTTGGTATATTTATAAAAAATGATAGTGGCACATTACCAACCACAATTCCAACCACACCCTCTCTTTTTGCTACAGTACACCGGGCCCCCACATGAGATTTTATTAAAATCTCATGTGGGGCCCAATGCACTTTAGGGGCTGTTTGGTTCGTTTCCTAGATATAGGGAAATGCATTTCCATGCACAGAAACACAAGTTTTGAGTTTTCCAAACTTTTCTAAGAAATAGATTGTTTCGTTTTGGTTCACACATAAAAAATAGTGGGAAACCAATTTATTTACTTTTCTTGTGTTTGGTTCGCATGGAATAAAATGGAAAACTTTTGTTGATATGATATTTCCTACTTTTCTTGTGTTTGGTTGGTTTTAAAGTTTGTAGTGAAAAGTGTTTATGGTCACAATGGTAAGATTACTCCCACTATATACAAATTTATTTGTGCTCGTTATATGATGTAATTTTAATCATATAAAAGTTCGAATGTAACATGAACAAATAATAATATCCCAAATAAATTATAAATTTTTGTTTATATTAATAAAATCATACGAAACCTGAAATAATATGAATCACTTGTTATGAATTATGTACTTAATTTGACTTGAAATATACATGTTTCAGATTGAAAAAATCACATGAAACCTGTACTAACCTGATTATTCATAAATTTATGTAGTTAAGTTGCATGAATTATCCAAAAAATCTGCTAAAACCTATAAAAACATATAAACAACCTGAATAGCCATAAATATGTATATAACGTAGCAAATAGCCATAAATATGTATATAACAACCTGAAACCTACAAAAACTTATAATATTAGGGAAAAGTGTTTATTGTCACCATGGTAAGATTACCCCCACTATATACAAATTTTTTTGTGCTCGTAATATGAGGTATTCTTAATCATATAAAAGTTCGAATGTTACTGTTTTAGATTGAAAAAATCACACGAATCCTGTAATAACCTGATTATTCATAAATTTATGTAGTACATACCCGAATTACCCAACCAGCCAATTAAACCAAGTCACCAATGCGTTATTATAAGCAAGTGAAATAACGGCAGATGTAACAAAAATAACACAAGAAGGGAGGGGTAGCATCCTCACAACCAAAAATCCCCCAAACAAGCACAAAAGCATCAGTTACCCAACAATGAACATGATACACCAACCAGCCAACCAAAAAAGAACCACGAAACACCATCACAGCCACCAAAAATGAACTAGAAAACACCATCCAGCCACACATAATGAACCAGGAAACACATAATGTACAAACAATGATATGTTAACTTAGAAAATACCCTGAAATGTAAATTTTGAAGTGCTAATAGCACAATATAACACGTAAGTAAAAAAAATCAATATAACACATAGTGTATTAAACTGAAGGTGTTGCGCGCAGCGGAAATTTCGGCAGCACTTCGGCAGCACAACAAGAGAGTCAGATCGCAATAAGAATTCCCGTCTCACCAAGGAGACAAGAATCTGAAGCGGATATCTCAACCAAGTGAGATACCGGCTCTTCCTCTCATCAGTTCTAGGACTGACCTGTCGAGGGATCCTAAAAGCTATTACAAATCACACAAAAGCAGTACAACCAATTTTTACGTGGTTCGGCAAATTGCCTACGTCCACGGGGCAAGGAGGGGGGAGATCTACTATTAGAGAGAATACAAATAGGGTTTACACACACAAGATCTCACAAATAAAACCCTCACAATCTCTCTCAAAGGGCGTCGGTTTTTCTCCTGCTGTGAACTTTCCCGCAGCCGCAAAAAGCTCCTTGCACGTCCTCTTTGCTTCTGCGTTCCCCTCTTGTGCACAGCCTGCTCTGTCAGCTTTTCTTGTTTGCACGAAGCCGCCGCCAACAAAAAATTCCTCCTGCACTTGCTCTTTGTTCTCCTGCACTCCAGTCCTCAATGCCTACCCTAAAACCCTAATAAAATATTGTTTATATAGGGAGGCTTTGGTTCGTGGGCCGGCTTCAGGCGGAAACAAATTGAAACCGCGTTCATTTTTTCTTTTTCTTTTTTTTTTCTCACAGCCTTGCACGTGGGTGGCCCCCACTATCCGCACAATTCTCCACCTCGGTGAAGTTTTCTCAAAACTGAGCCGACACCAAAGCAAATACCCCGTAGTAGACCGGCGCTTATCCAAATCCCCGGCATAATCCGAATCAACATAGCCAATGCATAGCTGCCCACCTGTAGTGTCCCGCTCATAAACCAAACCAACATTGAGCGTACCTCGAATGTACCTCAAAATCCATTTCACGGCGTCCCAATGACCCACTCCTGGATCGTGCATGTATCTCGATACCATGCTCACCGCCTGTGACAAATCTGGTCTCGTACATACCATTGCGTACATCAAGCTCCCAACCGCGCTCGCATATGGAGTCTTCGACATCAACTCACGATCTTCAACTGACTTCGGTGAAAGACCAGCTGAAAGCTTCAAATGGGCTCCCAAAGGTACACCAACTGGCTTCGTATCCATGCTAACATGGAATCGCTGTAGAACCTTCTTCAAATAAGCCACCTGTGTCAAACAAATTCTGCCCTTCTTCTTGTCTCTGCCGATCTCCATCCCTAGAATGCGCTTCGCCTCACCCAAGTCTTTCATCTCAAACTCATTTGATAGTTGAACTTTCAACTCATCTATAGCCGACCTGGAAGTAGAGGCAACCAACATGTCATCGACATAAAGTAACAAATAGATGTACGCACCTCCTTTCAACTTGCGAAAATATACGCAAGGATCAAACTGGCTCCGAGTGTACGAATGACCAATCATAAAACCATCAAATCGCCTATACCACTGTCGAGGAGACTGCTTCAAACCGTATAGCGATTTCTTTAGCCTGCAAACCAACTTATCTTTCCCTGCAGCTCGGAATCCCAATGGCTGAGTCATATATATTTCTTCATCAAGATCACCATGAAGAAATGCCGTCTTCACATCCAACTGATCTAACTCTAAACCATACTGTGCCACCAAAGCTAGCAAAATCCGAATCGAAGAATGCTTCACCACCGGAGAGAAAACCTCATTATAGTCAATACCTTCCTCCTGTGCATAGCCCTTCGCAACCAACCTAGCCTTGAATCTCAACGGAGTGCCTTCAATGCCCTCCTTCTTCGTGTATACCCACTTGCAACCAATTGCCTTCCGCCCCTTTGGAAGCTCAACAAGCTCCCATGTATCGTTCTTATGAAGAGATTCCATCTCCTCCTGCATAGCCACCTGCCACGAATCAGCCTCCGAACTCTGCTCGGCCTCTCTGAATGTAGTAGGCACTAACTCATCGATACTCTCCACCGGAAGTGCATACGCAACTGTGTCGGCATACCGTGCTGGCATCTGTATGTTTCTCCTCTGTCTCCTAGCCGCAATAGAATCCTGAACCTGAGCCGTCGGTTCTTGATCCTGCACATTTGTACTCGTATCCTCCGTGTCACCGTCGTGCTCGCCTGGCGTCACCTCAGTCGGCACCTGCATGGATACTGTACCATCTGGACAATGTGGAGCTGCATCGATCTCCACCACCTGCGATATATCCTCTGTCGGGTTGCTCTCCACCTGATAAGAGCTGGGAAGCTTCAAGATAGAAGCCTCATCGAATGTGACATCCCTACTCAGCACAATCTTCTTATCCACTGGATCCCAAAGCTTGTATCCCTTGACACCACGCTTGAATCCTACAAATATGGCCTTCCTAGCTCGAGGTTCCAATTTATCAGTTCTAACATGATAATATGCAGGGCACCCGAATACCTTGAGCTGGTCATAGTCATGTGCTGGCTTTCCCGACCACATCTCCATAGGGGTTTTCCCCTCAATCGCAGATGAAGGCAGCCTATTAATGAGGTGGCTCGCATATGTAAGTGCCTCAGCCCAAAAGATCTTCTCCAAACCACTCTGCGACAATAAGCATCGGATCTTCTCCAGTAAAGACCGATTCAACCTCTCTGCCACCCCATTTTGCTGCGGTGTATGACTAACTGTGAAGTGTCTCTCTATGCCCTCGTCTCGACATAGCTGCTGAAAGGGGTCAGAAGTATACTCACCACCGTTGTCGGATCGCAACGTCTTGATCTTTCTCCCAGTCTGCAGTTCCAATCTCTTCTTCCACTCCACAAACAAATCTAGGACTTCACTCTTCTTCGTCATGGTGTACACCCAACAACGCCTAGAATAGTCATCTACAAAAGTGACGAACCAATGTCTACCACCAAGTGATGCAGTCTTGGTGGGACCCCAAACGTCTGTGTGCACGTAGTCCAGGATGCCCCTTGTCCGATGAATGGAAGTCCCGAACTTCACCTTCGTCTTCTTGCCAAGAACA